AATTTATCTTCCAAGAATCCTGTTCTCGTAGTCATCAAGTTTTAGTATAGTGGAATGCTATGGTTATCCCAAGAACAGTGTTGATGAAGGAAGGAAGGGCTTGAGATACCACACCAGCTCCCAGCCCAGGCTGTGCCACTGACTAGTTATCTGACTTCAGGCAAATCATTCTCCACTCTGAGTTTGAGTTTCTGGTACCTAAAACATGGCTCATAGACCTACCTCCCTGGGTTAGGGGCAGTGCTTGGAACGATAATAGGAGGTGCCCAATAAAGATCTGTTGAAACTGAATAAAAGGTCCTTAGTAATGGTTCCAGAAATGCCAATGCTGAAGGCACTTCAGTTAAAGTTATCTTTTTAAGCAGTTTTCTGGATTCCACAGTAATCTGTAGAGGGAGTGTGATAGTTTTAATACAACTGACATAGATTGCATCAAATAAGCCACACACCTCTACACTACATTAGATCACCTTCCAACTCACTGAAAAATTGGTGCTAGGGAATTAACCCTCCCAATTAAGTTGGAAAAATAACATTGAGTCATTTATTGTTTCTAGAGTGTTTTTATGATTTTATCAAACAAATTACAAATAATAATTTTCTTAACCATTATTAATCAAATAATTTTATTCTAGACTTACTATCTGTTAAAGAGAATAATATCTTTAAAAAAGTCATATGTGACTACTTTTTTTACTATGAATGATTAAAAAAATGAAAAAGAAACTTGAAAATCCTTGAGTTTGCCACTGTTATTTCTTCTTAGTCTGTAAGAATAAAATTGTTCATGATAAGTCTTCTCTAAATTTTTGTGAAATGAAATTAAATCGCTGACTCACAAATAATGCGCAATGAATAAAACACCCTTGGTCACTTTTTAAACAGTCTTTTTTTCAAATAGAAGGAGTTCAGCTGAAATATGTGGTCCATGGAAATATTAAATGGATTAATCTTGGCTTACTCATGGCAAAGAATGCTCTTTCACAATTATAAGAGAAAATGTCAGGTCTGGGAGTGGGTGGATTAGAGGGGAACCAATAGACAGACAACAAAGGCAACATAAAGAAATAAAAATGTCTTCCAACCACTCTGAATTAAAACAAATGATTGCATTTGGGATTTAGCAAAATATAAGCATATTTTCCTTTGCTCTTTCACCAACACTTTTTCCTACACTAAGACAATATGAATTTTACCTTTCCAAGCCATGATTTTCTTTTATGAAAAAGATCATTGATAATTAATAACAATACAGAAAAGGATGTTATTATCAGTAAATAGTTCAGCACATTAGCTTTTTTATGCTGTAGAGAATTTTGTATTTACAATAAGTTTTAACACTGAAAATTATTTTCATTTAGTTCTGGTAAGAGGTAAAACAAGATTAATCTAAATTAGAGAAGATTATTGAATTTTGTCTGAGGAATTAATAGTGCTTATTTTAGGGATAGAGTTTAGTGGTCATGTTTTTCTTTCAGTAAAAATTATCTTTAATAGGAAAATAAGTATTATCATGAAACAACTGGATTTTTTTAAAGTTTGACAATTCTACTAAAGCTAAAGCTGATAAGCTACACTTTATCAGACAAGGTACAGAACAATGTATCTGTTTACAATTCACGGTTGAATATGTGTCCCACAATTAAGAATTAGGAAATTATCCTTACAGCAAACAGATCTTAGTTAAACATATTATTAATCTATGCTTCAAGGTATTACCTAACTCCCTAGAGGATGCCAGAGTCACTTTGCCAGTTGAATAATCTCAGTCGTTCTACCCCAAGTTTTTCATCCTTGACGTTTTTCATGGGCCTGGAGTAGAAGCCTATCTTTCAAAAGGATGTTAAAAAAAATACATGAAAAGCTCGTGCAGGAATAAACTATAGCACCTCAGGCTTCTTAATTTTTACACTATAATGCCTTAGAATTTTCTACCTTGCCACATTCAGAGTGAGTTCTTTGATGAAAAGAGAGAGAAATAAATTACGTAGGGAAGGAAGAGAGCCTTTATTATCATTTTAATAGTTCACAGACACATAAAAGGAAGACACATTCACTATGTGGTGGGACCTAAAACTAAAAATATTCACTGACTTAGTAACAAAAAATGTCATATGTCATGAAAAATGGAAACAGTTTTTTGAAACAGTATGAATGTACAACTGTGCACGAAAGCTTAGAAAATTTAACAAAGAAAATAAAACTAAACCATTAAATGGCATTGCAAATAATGACTTTGCTTCTCCTATAACCTTTTTTTAACTAAATGAAAATACTGACTATATCCAGAGACTCTCAGGGGTCATGGGGAATGAAATTTCAGGCATCAGAAATAATCAGCTTTTAGGAACTGCCTCCTAAGCAACCGAAACAAAAAGCACACATTTTCAGGAGTAATTGTGTAGATGTAACATGAGTACAATATGCAGTTTAGGTGGTTGGCACTGGATTGGAATAGAGATGTCGTTGTTACCTATTCAGGACATTCCTAGGTTGTTGTTTATTTTTTTTTATTGGGGGCATGCATTTTCCACGTGTGGAGATTTGGTTCCACGCTCCGTGCTTTTGTCGGGGTGATGGTTTTGATGTTTTGAATGGGGAGGTGGGGAGTGGTGCCTGGGACTCTTCTTACATGCTCCCAGTTATCTATACGTTATTCTATATTCTCTGCCACCAGGATACTTTTGCCAGAGCTATGGTCCTTTCAACGCAGCATATCATTCAGATGTACAAAAATGAAAATTTTTTTAAATTTAAATTTAAATTTTTTTTAAATTTCAGAATATTACGGGGGTACAAACATTTTGGTTACATGAATTGCTTTTGTACAATTTGAGTCAAAGTTATAAGTGTGTCCATCACCCAGATAATGTGCATTGAAATAGGAAGGCTTTTTTAATTATTATTAGTTGAATGACACAGGACCTGCTCAATGTTTGCATTTAAATTAAACAGAATAATTCAGCTCTGGCTTTTAATTTCAGAAGGGTTAATCATCCTAACAGAGGTCAATCAAACTTTAATCTTCAATAAAATTGCTACAGCCCCAATTACCTGCAGGACATTTATTATATTCCTATTTCCATGCAAAAGAATGCATTGCTTTCATTCTGCATTACTAATCTCCTAACTCTTTACATTAGCACATTTTACCAAAAACATTAATTCCTTTGAAACTCTGACAAGAGTTCATTTCTACACATCTCAGGAGATAATCCTGTTTTAACAAAAACGGGACATCAGCTATGAACCACTTTCGGGACCTTTCTAATCCTCCTAGACCTTAGACACTCCAGCAGAGTACTTACAATACCAAATCTCAATCACACAAAATACTATGGAGGTTTAGATTAAAACAACAATATATTATTTTAGGAACTTAATCCTCCCTATTTTCTGTGATTGTGCCATTCATCTACTTATTTCTATTCACAATGTTTACTGCATACAGAAGTTATTGATTTGGAGGAAACAAATGTTAACCATATTTGAGTAACTATAGAAACACTTAAATTCATTGAATCATTCACTTGATGAATATATAATGAGTGCCCATTATATGCCAGATATTGGGCTGGGGGGTGGGAATCAAAGTTAAAGAAACAAAAAGAGAGTCTCTATTATGAGAATAACATTCTCCTGTGAAAATGATGTTTGGAATATAATAAAAATAAAGACATAAAGCTCCACTTTCAGCTGTTCTTATCAGTGTCATTAAATTTTAGTGGAGATTAGAAATGTGTTAAGTCAAATTTTAACAAAAATTTCAATAAACAGTATTTAAAATTATCTGGATACTTAAAGGCTTTAAAATTCACCATCCCATAAAATGATTCATTTTTTTATTTGGGAATATGAAATTTGATGCCCAAATATTAAAATCAATATATTGAGACTGTCTAGTCTCCCATGGTTAGCAATAAAACCATGAGAAAGTTTAAATGGGCTTATTAAAAGTATACGTGCTGTGCACTAATTTGTTTCCAAAATGTTATTTCATGACATTTAGAAACTGCTATTAACACAAAAGACAATAGTAATAGGCAAGAGACAAATGATTGCATTTTGCCATGATACGGTGGTCTGGAAAACCATGGATGGAAAGTAAAAGAACCTCACCCCAATTATATTGCAGATTGATCACCTTGGTGTTATAGGAGTGGTATGACACAGCATAAATAACCCAAACTTGCCTTCTACATATTTTCTGAGTCCCCTTCCTCCCTCTCTGTACTCAGATGAAGTGCAGAGGCATATACACAGAGGCGCATGTCCCCCTCATCAATATTCACAGTCATTAATTAGCAATATGTGAGGGCTAGCATTTGGGAAATTCCTCCGAGCTTGAATATTCAATCATGCACAGCAAATCACAGTAAAAAGAAAATACAGGTATAACAGTCAATGGCCAGACTTGCATTGGAAAACATCATAAAATTTCAATAAACGCTGGTCTTTATAAACGTTGTTAAAAAAACCAAAAGCCCCAATTATTTTGTGTGACTTGAGTCAAGACCTTAGCCCTCCTGTCTCCCACTCTGAGCACTTCTTGAAACGGAACTAGAACCTCTACATATTCTATACCTACACTTGCTTTTTTCCCTTTCCTATAACTAGGTTGACGCAACAGAATAAAGCATAGCTACGGCTTTTACATTGTTGAGCAACATAAATCCAATGCTACAGTAAGTGTTCAATTGCTATTTGTTACCGAATACTTATTCTGGAAAATTGATAAAGATAAGGTAGACGCAACAACAGGCAAAATATTGCTTTATATTCCATTCTCAGCATCAAAAGCTATTTAGTTGTATTTCCAAATTCGTAGATTTAGGAGAAAAAAAAAACTAAAGCTTTCAGAGAATATGCTGTAAATGCTCAAAAAGCGTACAGATCTTTTTATGAATCATTTTGGTCATGAAAGAAAAAAAAAACCCCACCAAATCGAATGAAAATCTTAATAAGAAAACCCAGGATGTGGAATTATGAAAGAAACATACCTTTGGCTGAACAAGTTCGCAATTTCTCATCTTGCCTACACAGCTCTGCCGTTCCACCTTCAGCAAAAGTCAGCTCCGTGTCCCTTGTGATCTCTATGACAATGCCATCATATCACTGGCAAATTTTTCGATTAAACTTTGCAGACGTAGTAGCAACTTTGTTAATTATGATATTAGCCAGCTGGCGGGGATGATCAGTCACCCACTGTAAGAAAGCCAGACAAAGAGACATCTAATCATTGCAACCAGAACAGATAAATTTTGTTTCTTTCTCATACTTGTCACAGATTCTATCCCTTCTGACCCTCTCCTCAGCCAGCGACTGTCAAATTTAGATTCCGAGAGCTCCCAGCTTCCCTTTAGCCCTGCCTTAGATCTGAAACTCCTGGTTATCAGGAAGACACGCGTCACCAGCTGTCTCGGAGCAGGAAAGCAATCAGGTGAATACTACTTATTATCTCGCATTGCTTTCCATGGAGTGACAAGATTGATTTGGAACCAAAAATACATTCAGATCTCAGACATGTAGTTCCTAGGGTTTGGAGTTCAGACAGCAGGGTATGTGCAAAGTTGCTATAGGAAGGACTTCAACCCTGAGGTTAAGGCTCAGGATATTAGAAAGTTAAGGAGAGTTTAAAAAAAAAAAATTATGAATTCTTTTTTCAGATGGTTTTGTATTCTCTCTTCCACCTCTGCGCCACCTTGGTAACGTCTATGAGCAGATTGTTACCCGGTGGAGCCAGCATCACGACTAGGTAGCCTACGTCAACCCTGCTCAATTCTGGTATCAGTATTCTGACATTATCGAGTTGTCTCCACCCATTCCTTTGTCATCAAGAAGAATACTCTATAAATTCCAATTCCTGAAACTTGCCCTTGCATAAAAATTCAAATCATATTTATATGAAATAATATGAGAAACTAATTTGGATATATCAGTTAAAAATAACTTATACAATTTTGGGTTGGGGGACAGATATCTTTATACCCTAACACAAAATTTCCCCTCAGAAAAATCAGTCTATTGAAATCATATATAAGTGTGTATCAATTGATCGATATACACAATGAATTTACCGAAATTTCAATGTATATTAGGTAATATGTAGTAACATTCCTACAAAATGATATGACAACATTTTTGAACATGAAATGTCCAGTGGATCAACAAAGAGCTTGATCTACATGATATGCCATTAAACTGATGAGATTTTTACTAAAGGATTGTTTTCTCCATTGAAATGTTTAAGCATCAACAAAATAAAAAGTTTACACTGCAGAAATTGAAAAGGAATACCATACAATAAACATATATTCATCAACAAATTAGTAGGTCTTTCTGGGATGAAGGAATTTCATGAAAAGTTAAAATGTGATTCTGAAATTGATTTTACATAAGAATTCTGTACATTTGTCCCCCAAAAGGGACCAAAATGGTTATCTCTATCTGTGAAAATTGTAGGTATAGTGTATTGTATTAATAAATCATGGTATGTACCCTAAATTTACATTTTGTTTTTACATGAGGACATTCCTGAGATGGAAAGCCCAAAATACCTGTTTAGCCTAAAGTGCTGAGAAAATAAATGTATAAATATGTTTACAGGCAATTTAAGATATATGCGATGAGGATAAGATGATTTAGGGAGCCACAAAACCACACGGCAAGATACTTTTGTCCTAGGAATCCAAAGGGATTTCTAAAATCCCACCAGAACTGGGCTGGGATGGGAAAAGTATGATTTCAGAAGTGCTTAGAAATTTTACATCTGTAACTATATGGTTCTAGATATCTTCGTGAGAGTAAGATACTCTTTATCCTTTATGTCTTGGGCTAATATTAAGAAATGAGTCACATTCCATAAAAGCAAAAGAACAAAGAAGTCGTAAATGTCAGAGGAGAAGAGTGTGCTGTGGCACGATATCAAGGACAAAGAGTCTTTGATATGACTTTAGCTGACCCTGTGTTTGGAAACGAGCTGTTTCCATCACATTGACTATCACGGCTTTGGCACCTGCCACACGGCCTGGCACACAGTAGTTTCTCAAGAAATACATGTTGATGAAGAATAGAAACTGACGTTGCCCACAGCAACCTTCTCAAAGCCCAATTTGTCTGTTTTTGAAATTAAATAAGGTAAAAATTCACTCCTGAGGCCTTATGTTGATTGCCATATAGTAATGACTCACATGTTTATCCAAATTATATCTTTAAAATATTGAAAAGAGTCCTTCCTAAAAAGAGTTCAAAACAGACATTTCTCTTAAGCTTTTAAAATATGCTCACTATAGCTCCTATAAAAATGATTTTAACTCAGGGAGTTACAAAGAGTTAAAAAGATCTTTATTCTTTGACTGTAGAAAAGACTTTTTCCTAGGAAATTCCCAGAAAATAAATATGTTATGTATGCAAAGTTTTTCACTGAAGTAGTATCTATGAGAGAAAATGGAAACAACTTAATGTCCCCAAAGATAGAAATTAATAAATAAGTTTTGGCAATTAATCATATGCAGTCACCATATGGGAATGAGGAAGACTGAGAAAGCCAATTTCTTATGACTATACTGAATAAAAAAGCAGGATACAAAATCATACATACATTGATTACTGAGTATATTTGAACAAAGACTAGAAGAAGAAATGCCAAAATAGGAAATATGTTCTGTGGTATCAAAAAGTACTGTCTTCTTTTTCAAAAGCTTGCTTAAACACCATTCTAACTGTTAATCTCAAAAAGAAGAATAAAAGATTCTATCTGTAATATGGGAACAATAACTATGACTACCTGACAGAGTTTTGATATTAAACCAAATAATATAAAGATGCATATAAAAAACTCTTTGCATATTTCCTAACCTGCTGGAAATACTCATTACACGGCTTAGTTATTATTTTTACGACAACTACCATATAAATAATTCTGACATGTCTGTCTACGCTACATCACTTTTTTCCCTATGAAACATTATCAAAAATTCACTGAATTCAATGAGGCATTCTGAAACAAGGAAAACTCAGTATTTTAAACCCAAGAGACCAGGCACAGAAATATATCCTAGAGGGTAAACCTGATTTATAAAATAATAACAGCAATAATAGTAACCAATGGATACATGGGACATCATTACAAATTATAATGTATATAAGACCTACAACACTCTTATAATTTTAGAAGGCCTGTAGGTCTTCTAAAGAGGGCTCCAATTTTAACTTCTTTATGGCTGTTTATGGCATACCTATAAAGACGTAGAACTGCCGGAAACACTGAAATTAAAGTAGGAAAAACAGACCTGGAGAAATTGGCAACGCTTTGAGAAATTTTAATGCTCTTACTTTTCTTGGCACTCTTACTTTGATTTTCCACTGTGGGCATTTGCTGATTTCTGCTCCCTGTGGCCACAAAGCTCAACTCAGCAGAGTCACCTAAGGCTTCTCTTTCTCCAGGGCATGCAAGTGTCAAACATCGCAACAGGTTGTTGATGATATAAATACAATGCAGAGGTGTGGAATTTTTTAAAGGTTGAAACAGTCAGTGAGAACAAAGCCATCCAGATTTGGAAACACATTTTGGATCCGCACAGACCACTAAGTCCCATTCTCTGCTACAGATGATTTTACTGGTGTGCCACAAACTGTCTCCCATTGGCCCTTATGACAGCCCATCCTATCTTTCTGATCACTTGAATATGTTTAACTTTCATGTATATTAATTTTATTTCTACTTTCCAGCCTGCTAGATGTAGAACCAAATGCCTGAAATTCCCTTCCATCGTGCTGTAGTATCAGGAGTCAGACATCCTGCTTCTTCCCCATCCCTGGCTCCTTACTTACCAGCTCTGGGTCTTTGGACAGGTTATTAAACATCACTAAGACTCTGTTAAACAACAACATCTTGTAGCTAGTATGAAGACTGTGAATAATACATGTCGGCTGCTTAGCACATAGTAGGTATCTAATAAATGCTCTGTCATTGCCAAAATAGCAAGAGAATCCCTGAGAAGCAGTAGAGTCCAGCAAATAGGAAGAGCAAGAGATCCAGAGTCAAGCTTCTTGAGTGAATTCGAATCCTGACTTTCTCCCTTAAATAATTGATAACAACAACAATAATAGTAATAATATCTTCCCAAAGAATTATAAGACTTAAATATCTACTTATAACATACTTACCACATAGTTAATAATGGTTTTCAATTATTATTATGACTCTGCCTTCTATGTTAGTTGGTTATTACTTCCCCATTTCTTAATTTGTCTTAGTAAAAATCAATCAGGACTTTGAATAGGAAGAGCTGGGAATATGTATATTCACAAATGTTTGATAACATATAGCTATGGATCCTAGCTGCAGCACTATTTATAAGAGCAAAAAGCTGAGAATGATCTAAAAAGTCACCAAAGGTAACTAGTTAAAGAAGGTGTGTTATAATATACCCATACTGGAGAATGCCGTGCAGCTATTAAAACGAATGAAATAGGAGTACCGATATAAAATTATTCCTATGATACATTTTAATGGAAAGAAGAATAGTGCAGAACCATGTGTAGTATACATTATTCTTTTGTTTAATAAAGATTTTGCATATGATGTTTTTCATGAGGATATTTCACAACTCTTTGTGAGTTATTTAGAGGATATCTCTGAAAAATATACAAGGAACTGTTCTCATGGTTGCTTCGGGAGGGAAATTGGGGTCTGGGGACAGAAGAGGAGAGAGAACCACCCTTCATTATATCCTTTGCAGTTGTATGAATTTATGTTATATATGTAGCTCTTCTTTTTGAAACAGTAACAACTTTAGAAAAAAAAAAGTCATTTTCCCTACTTGAAGGTGCAGCCAGTCAATTTTAGTTTGCTTCTAGAACTCCACTGGCCCATGCGAGTGGACATAATTCCGCAGCTTATGTCTGCCGACTTGATCAGCAATACACACGGCATTGCTTTTCTGTGCCATAACATGACCTCACGACCGTTTGCTTCCAACTCAAATTTCAATGCTATTTGCAATACCATTTGTTGCATTCTCAAGGCTAAGTCCTCTAGACGCCAGTGGCATGTCCAGAGCTAAGAGCTGCTAATGGGAGAAGATGTCATATGATATACACTCCTAGTACATAATAAGTTGTGAACTGACAACTTGCAAGTTTGATATGGACTTAAATGTAGGGATTTCCTTGTCTTTTCAAATGTGCAAATTTGAGAATTT